AACAGCGCCACCTACCAGGTGTATCTATCATCATCATCATCATCATCATTACAGCCCTTCACAAGTCCACTGTTGAACATAGGCCTCCCCCAAGTAATGCCACAAAGCACGGTCCTGAGCCACCTGCATCCATCGACTTCCTGCATGTCTTACCAGGTCGTCACTCCATCTAGTGGGGGGTCGCCCTACACTACGCCTACCGGTACGAGGCTGCCACTCGAGAACCTTTCTTCCCCATCGGTTATCGGTTCTTCGAGCTATATGGCCGGCCCATTGCCACTTCAGCTTACTAATCCGTTGGGCTATGTCGGTCACTCTGGTTTTACTGCGGATATCCTCATTTCTGAGTCTATCACGTAGAGAAACTCCGAGCATAGCCCTCTCCATAGCTCGCTGAGCGACCTTGAGCGTCCTCATACGGCCAGCAGTGAAGGACCACGTCTCTGATCCGTAAGTCATCACTGGCAACACGCACTGGTTGTACACTTTAGTTTTCAGAGATTGAGGTATACCTGACGAGAAGATGTGTCGTAATTTCCCGAACACTGCCCAGCCGAGTTGAATCCGTCGATTGACCTCTCGGTCGAAGTTGGACTTACCTAGTCGGACTATTTGTCCCAGGTAAACGTATTCGTCAACAACTTCGAGCATAGTGCTCCCGACAACTACCGGCATAGGTGTGACATGGACATTGAACATGATCTTTGTTTTGTCCATGTTCATCTTAAGACCTATCCGTTGGGAGGCACTATTGAGGTCATTGAGCATAGTGCTTAAGTCCTCCAGCGATTCTGCCATAAGGACTATATCGTCGGCAAATCGAAGGTGAGTGATGTACTCGCCATTGATGTCAATACCGTATCCTTTCCAGTCCAGTAGCTTGAAAACGTCTTCCAATGCAGCGGTGAAGAGTTTCGGGGATATAACGTCACCCTGTCTTACACCTCTCTGCAGTTGGATAGGTTTCGAGCTCTGGTTCTGTACTCGGATAGCCATCGTAGCCCTACTGTACAAACACTTCAGCACTTCGATATACCGACAGTCAACTTGGCACCGCTGAAGGGACTGTAGCACCGCCCAAATTTCGACGGAATCAAAGGCTTTCTCATAGTCCACATACGCCAGGCAAAGTGGCAGATTGTACTCTTCAGTCTTCTGTACAATCTGCCGCAGGGTATGTATGTGGTCTATGGTACTGAAGCCTTTTCGGAAACCGGCTTGTTCGGGAGGCTGGAAGTCGTCAAGTCTGCGTGCGAGACGATTCGTAATGACTCTCGAAAACAGCACGTAGACGCGGCTCAGAAGGGAAATCGGTCTGTAGTTCTTTAAGAGAGCGTTGTCGCCTTTCTTAAAGAACAAGACCACCGCACTTCTGCTCCACGCCTCTGGAGTAGTGCCACCATGGAGGACGGAATTGAAGAGCTTCTGAAGGACTTCAAGTACCGGTGTTCCACCCGCTTTCAGAAGCTCCGCTGTAATTCCATCCTCGCCTGGGGCCTTGCCGTTTTTAAGGTGCTGGAGAGCCATTCTAATCTCGCTTAGACTGACGTCCGGGATATCATCGGAATAGTGTCGGATAAGACTTGCTCTTGGATCGTTACTCACACTTGCGTGTGGCTCCAACGATGATGTGTAAAGCTGCCCATAGAACCTCTCAATCTCACTCAAAATCTCAGGTGTCCCGGAAACGATGTTGCCACACTCAGTCTTCAGCCTTGACAGTTGGCTCTTTCTGGCAGACAGATCTCTGGCAAGGACTTTGGAGCCCTTGCCAGACTTTGTATCTATAGCTAACAATTATCCAGGTGACTCCATAAGTACCTCATGAAATTTTATCCAAATCTGCTGAGCCGTTTAGAAGAAAAAGAATTCCGAATACACGTAAACCGGAATATTTACATAGGTCGGGGAAAAAGTATCTTAGTATTTTGTTAGTATAAAATTGAAGAAAATCTCTTTGGTTGTACTGTTTGTATTTGACTGGTTTTAATACGCATTAGACATTAAGAAAAATAAAAACGAACAGTAAAAAACACTTTCGTGGCATTATTCAATTGTTTTTCTGTCCGCCAAAATTAGTGAATATAACGAAGAAATTCGATACATTCTCAAGTTATATTATAATAAAAAAAAATTAACAAAAAAATTAAACCGCCGAAAAAACTGAAAAGCAAAAAATAATAAACCTTTACCTTAACCTTTTTTTTTAAATAACAAAAATTTTTTCGGCGGTTTAATTTTTTTGTTAAAAAGTTTTTATTTTATAATTTTTATGGCCATATTATACTTTTAAAATAGCTACTTAGCTTAATTTAGCTATTAACTGTTATGATATAATTCTTCTTTAACTATTATTTGTTTATAACTGTCAAAGATCAGGCATATTTGGCACTGAGTAGAATAAAAACACATGAGGGTATGGCTTTATCAGATCTAGAGCCAAATAAGGTATCACACAAACCTCACGATGAACAAGCATGAGCGGAAATGCAGAGACTGAGAGACAGACAGGTTTACACACAAGATACTGACAGGTCTAAATCTCATTTATCGTGAGTTTTTTTTTGTAATGTAATGTAATTATTATGTAATGTTGTAATACACAACTCCGCGTTATAATCTGTGAGTAAATAGTAAATCACATAATTTTCCCACCCTTAAGTCAAAGTCAAAGTCAAAGTCAAAATCTTTATTTGCAGAATAAAATGTTTAGATAATACAGGTATTTAGTATAAGAGTAAGTCTCAATAATATTCTACCGGGAGTTGTACCGGTGTGCAAATATATCTTAAAATAATCGAATTTAATTGTACATATGTCAAAAAATTAAATAAATTATTTAATATATTAAATACTATTGCAATTAATTAAAATATTCCTTAAGACTATAATAACACTTGTCAAGAAGCCATTTATTAATCTCAATTTTGAATTTATTCAAAGGCATTTCTTTTAAGTTATTGGGCAATTTATTATATATTTTAATAGCCATTATAGGAGCACTATTTGCATAAAATCTAGAGCTGCATTTAGGATGAAATAATCTGTTTTTATGCCTTGTTTGCCTTTCGAGAGATTCAGCGTGGGTTTTGAAGTAGTTCGGGTGTCGCTTTACAAAAATACATGTTTCTCGAATATACGGAACGTATCTTTTTGAACAAAGGCTTGCAGCTATCAAGAAACCACGCACCATATATCGCTCGCACACATTTCTTTTGTAATTTAAACGCTCTAATCATATCAACAGAATTTCCCCACAAAGGCAGAGCATATAATAATACTGACGACACAACCGTGATAAGCAGCTAGGGCTGCTTTTTGTGATATTGTTTTTCTCAATCTTTTTTAAAGCATATATAAACCGTACGGTAAAAATTGTTGTCCAATTTCGTAGTGTACCATATCCAATAAAAAAAGAATTATCATAATCGGACTAGTCTTTAATAAATAACCCCTGTTTTGCCACCCTTAGGGTAATAATTTTTTTTCCAAATTTATATGTGACCTTATTTCGAGGTATACTCCATCCGTTAAAAAAAGAATTATCAAAGTCTTAAATTTGTATATAAATACGAAGAAACTTTTCCCCGACTTAATACGAGTATATAATCTTTCTATACATTTTTCTTCTATATCTAAACGGCTGGACCGAGATTCAAAAATTTACTTGGTAGGTGGCGCTGTTGTCGAGATCCAAAAATCACCAGTGTGATGCTAGGCGGAGCGGTAGTTTAATACATAAAGCTAGAAATAATCGACATTTTCGCGCGATTTTGTTTTGTATTTTATGTTTGTTGTGGTAATGATAAAAATTGTACATGTCGCATGTTTTCAATCAAAAACCTAGGCTTTTGATAAAGAACCGGTGGAAGACAATGTTATTACTTAATCTTATAATTAATCTGAAAAAAATCTTCTTTTTATCAGAAACCTGAATTTGTTTAGGTTTATGATAATTTAAGTTAGGGTAGGTTGATTTTATCATAAAACTATATCACTAGGTTTTTGATCAAGAATTTACCATAAACCTGCGACATAAATATATGCGTCTGCAAAATTTGCTATGTATAGTTTTATAGTTTATGGTAATACATGTGTAAAATTTTTTCATGTTAAAATTAAATTAAAATATATATAACATGAACATATATTTTTCTTTTTGCGTAATATCTTAAATTAACTGTTTTTCTTTGTTTGATGGAACCTTATTAAAACTATAGTTTTAGTTTGATTACTAACTTTTTTCCAAAATTGCATCTAAAAGAATTTATCAGGTTAAGACTAAATTCAGTAGTTTTTCAGACGCAGTCTTCAGCAAATAACTTCCACGAGTTTCACAAATAAGTCTCTTTTCAATTTAGGTTTCTATCTAAGTTGCAGAGTCTTTAAGCTACTTTCAGATTTGTTTTATGAAAATCCTGGATTCTTTAAAAAATCCGGCATGTTTTTATATACACTTTTAAGACGATTTAAAGTTTATGTTAGATATTTTCCAACTTTACTAGTACTACCATCTCATTAGCTTTATTTTATCAGTAACTATCACCCCTAGCTTCGCCTGAGTGGAATCTATTACTGTAATGTTATTTACATTAAAGATAATGGAAGAATATTTATTTCATCAAATTTGTCAAAAACAATCTCTAGGTTTTTCGTATAAAATATAGCCTGGATCACTCCTAGTCAGGTTCGTGAAGTTTCATTACAATCCTTCAGCCATTCCGTTCCAGACAGACAGAATAAAAACAAATGGTCATTCATGTTTTAATGACATTTAAATAACCTGAGCTTAATATAAGGCAGTTATTCCGGATATATATTACAGACAGATTACAGACATTATATATATATATATATATATATATATATATATATATATATATATATATATATATATATATATATATATATAAGTGGAAGGAGCTGGTACTGGGAAGCCCCAGCCCAGAGATGGGAACAGTACCTTGTAAATTTGCGGCTTTTTCAACTTACTTTGACGAATGCGCGTCTCACTCGCTAAGGAGGGTAATTCTGTAGCGAGTGTGAGCGAGGAATTGCAAACGGCGCCTGTGCAAGCATCCGAGCGCGTGAATGAGTCAAAAATCGATCATAAGATGGTACGCGCGGGCTCTGAGGAAGAGCAACAGGGCCGAGTTGAGATGACTGGATCGCCTGAGCATCAGTGTAGCCCGGTGTATTACGGTAATAATATTATCAATCAGGCTGAAACTGATATTAAAAATGGAAAAATTGTGTCTTTCTCGGATAAAGTAAGGTAAGATGGCGAATGGTAAGAGCCTGAAAAAAACGAGGGGTGGGTTTTGTACCAAAAACGTAGGCTTAGAACCGCTTTACTAGTCAAAGAGGTTGTGCCATCTGAGTCAACTAGTCAAAAGTTTAGAGCAGCGGATATAAAGGTGCCTCTGTTTATCTCGAATGTTGCCAAGAAGGTATCACATAACATAAACACTCACGCCTGTCACCCAGAGGGGTAGGCAGAGACTACAGACTTCCATTTAGCACGATCCTGACATACCTTTCTCGCCTCTTCCACATCCATATACCTACGCATACATGCTCGTCGGTTAAGGGTACTCTTAATTTGACCGATTTTTAGTATATCGCCAATTTGATCGACAAACTTCCGCCTAGGACGTCCCTTTCCGACTCTTCCATTCACTTCTGCAACATATATTTGCTTTGTCAGTCTTTCCGCATTCATTCTTTCTACATGACCAAACCACCGAAGCATTCCTTTCTTAATCCTGGTCACCGCATCATCTTGCAAACCACACTCTTCTTTTATCACACAGTTTCTCACCCTGTAACTCAGATTCAGCCCTAACATACTCCTTAGCGACCGCATTTCTACTCCATTTATTCTACTCTCGTGCTTCTTCTGCCACACCCAACTTTCACTACCATACGTTAAAGTAGGGACTAATACAGCACTGTGAATTGCCATAGGTGCCTTTTTTTGACACATTCTGACTTTTCACAATAGAGTGTAGAGCCCCATTTACTTTATTTCCTGCATTCACTCGTCGTTCAATATCCTTATCATATCTCCCATCCCTGCTGAATACACATCCCAAATATACGAACTCATCCACTTGCTCAATTAACTCTCCTTCTATTCTTATTTCACATACCGTTTTGCTTTCATCTCTTTCAAAAACCATCACTTTCGTCTTACTTGCGTTCACTTTCATTCCCCTTTCTTTTAATGACCTGTTCATTAATGTAACCATCATTTGCAACTCGGCCGCCGACGACGCAAGTATGACTTGATCATCGGCGTACAAAAGGCATTTGATGGTTAACTCACCCATTCTTAACCCGCAATCTTCAACTTTCAAATTTTCCAAACAGCTGTCCATAAATAGGTTGAACAGCCACGGGGAAGCTACATAGCCCTGTCTGACACCTTTATGGATGCCAAACCAGTCCGAGTAGACCCCGTTGATTCTAATACAAGCACTCGAGTCCCTATACAGAGACTTTAATGCCTGTATCAAACCAGCGCTCAACCTAAATGCGTTCAGCGTTTGCCATAACACATCCCTGTCCACTCTGTCATAAGCCTTTTCAAAGTCCATGAACACACAAAAAATTTTTTGGTTTTTCGCAAAAAACTTCTCCGCGATCATGCGCATGGAAAAGACTTGATCTGTACACCCCATTCCCTTTCTAAATCCCGCTTGCACATCCCAAATTTTTTTCATCAGTTTCTTTCATAACTCTTTCAATTAGTACCTTAGCATACAGTTTTCCCACAATGCTAAGAAGGCTGATACCACGGTAGTTTTTACAGTCCTGCTGTGACCCTTTTCCCTTATATATTGGGACTATTACGGCTTTGCACCAGTCTCCCGGTACCCGCTTTAGTTCCCAACATAAATTAAACAAGGTGTACAGCAGGCCTGCCACCACGTCCTCTCCAGCCCTTAGCATTTCGAGTGAAACTCTATCATATCCGGCTGCCTTACCTACTTTCATGCTTTTCATTGCTTTCATTATTTCATCTATACTTATCTCCCTATCTCTTTCATCTTCTTTCGGAATTTCTATTTCATTTAGTTCACACTTCTCCTCACTCATAAATTCGCTTTTAAAATATTCCTTCCATCTCTTTAGACTCAACACTTCATCATTCAGGATACAGCCATTCTCGTCTCGTATCGCATTCAATCTAGGCTGTTTTGAAAGTCCCCTAGTATTTCTTACGAGTTTCCAGAACATTTTAATATTTGCCAGGAATTTATCCGATATTCTTCTATCATTCTTATCCGTTCTTTCTTGCTTTTTCCTTTCAACTAATTCTTTTACTCTCTTATTTAAACGTTTAAACTCTGCCTTTTTTCTTTCATTCTCATCATTCTTACCGCCAGAATTACCAGCTTTGGTTGCTAATAAATCTAGCCATGCTCTCTTCTTTGCTTCAACTTCCATACGTACCTCATCATCCTACCATAACGTATTGTCTTTCCTTTCATTCGTTCTCTTACTAACACCACATACTTCGGTAGCTGCATCCACTAAACCTTTCTTAACATTATCCCACACATTCTCCAAGTCTAACTCATTCACACACAACTCATCCAAATTACTTATATTTTCTCTCAGTCTGCATTTGTACTTGTCTTTCAGATCTTCATCTTGTAACCTCTCAATTCTTATACGCTGTAACGCAGTGGTAGACACAGATGTCCTATGCCGCCAACGTCTGAATAAACCCCTAATTCGGCATAAGACCAGGTAGTGGTCCGTCCCTACGTTGGACCCCCGGTAAACTCTTGTATCCACCACTGCGCTCCTCATTCTTTCATCCACAGTTATGAAATCTATCATGCTTCTATCGTCACCTCTTTCCCAAGTATACATGTGAATCTTCTTATGACGAAAGAAAGTGTTCGTCACAAAAAGATTCTTTTCCATACATACGGTGACGAAGCTTTTACCATTCTCATTTATACTTTCATCACCAAACGTTCCCAATATCCTTTCATAACCAAGCCTTCTCACCCCAACCCTTCCATTAAAATCTCCTAGCATAATAATATTTTCATTTCCCTTACACTTCATTAACACCATCCGTACCATTTCCCAAAACTGCTCCCGGATATAAGTGGGCTTAGACATGTCTGGGGCGTAGACCCCTAACACAAACAACTTCTTTAAGCCCACTTTCATTCGTATCCATAGCAGTCTTGGTCTTACACATTCATACTCTTTCACACATTGGCCCATTCTTTCTGAAAAGATGATACCTACTCCCTGGCATGCCCGCTCGATCTCGTCTACACCAGACCAGTATGCGGTATACATGCCATGTGCAGTGACATCCTTCCCCTTCCTTTTCGTGTCATTTACACATAATACATCTATTCCTCTATCATACATCATGTCGCATACTTCATCCATTTTATCATTCATTGCCCCACATACATTCAACGTAGCCAGACGGGCCTCTGCAATCCACTTTTCGCCTCTCTGGGAGACAGAACGTGACGGGTGGCGAACCTCGTCGCTGGTTTTCCTCCCGGAGATTCTTCGCACCCCTGCCCCATTAAAGGGGCGCCGGGAACTCGGGGCCATTTCTTTTACTTTTTGCCTCATTTACGCCGCTACCACACGGCGAGTAGCCGAGTCTGTTCTTTCGGCTTTGTCGCTCTTTTAGCACCACCCGGGGGAAACGTGTAGGGTGGGCCTAGGATTAGGTGGTCGAAGCCTACGGACGCGAGCGACTTACCCCAAGGAGGTATCAGGGCAGGATATTATTGATTATGTGTATAACAAAACGCATGAAAAGGTTTCACTGGTGAAAATCAATAAGAAACGGCAAAAAAGGGTATGATGCCTATAAGTTCTTGGTATCCTAGCATAAAATTGAGACATTCCTAGATGATAAACTGTGGCCATCAGGCATAACGTTTCGTCGTTTTGTGAATTTTTACGATACACAAAAAGGTAAAATCAATAATAAGGAACAAAATAAACAGGACAGTTGAACATACTGAATAATAAATACGTGCTACATATTATAGTACATACATTTTGAAACAAATAAATAATTTAGATAATAAATTAATGTATTGAATATACTAAATACATTTCAATTAAAATACCAAATAAATAATTAATTAATATTGATAAAAATGAATACATATATGGATAATCTTAATAAAATTATAAGTTTCAACTGTAAATCGATCAAGAGGTCAGCGGAAGGTGTAAGAGAGTTGTGCCGGTCAGCCGACGTGTTGTGCCTCCAGGAAACGTGGATTCTTCCACATGATTTATCATTTCTCAGCACGATCAGTAAAGAATTTGGGTCCACATGCACATCTGCGTTGGACATGGAGGGAGGCCTCGTGAGCAGGAGGCCTTATGGTGGAGTTGCAATATTGTGGCGTAAAAATGTGTTTGAATCAGTGTCAGTGATAGAGTGTGACAACGTGCGAATCTGTGCCATAAAAGTAAGTGTGAGTAGTAGATCTGTAGTTATGTTTAGTGTATATATGCCCACAAACTCTTATGAAAACTTACCTGAGTTTTGTACGTGTCTCGGTTCGATCCGATCGATAATAGAAATAGAGGAAAATAAGGGAATTGAAGCTTTTTATATACTAGGGGACTGCTCATCCTAGGGAATTATTTTATAATGAAATGCTAGATTTTTGTAATGAAGAGAGCTGTATTTGTGTGGACGCAAGTATGTGTGATAAAATACATTTACTTTTCATAGTGAGGCTCATGGTTGTAACAGGTGGCTGGACCACTGCATAGTCACTCATTCTGCCCGTTAAACAGTTGTAAGCGTGTCTGTTAATTATGATGTATTTTGGCCAGACCACTACCCACTTGTGGTGGAATGTAATATAAATAAACTTAAGCCTAAGGTTGTGGAGCAGGTAATGGGGAAACCTGTGAACCGTGTTACTTGGGGCAACAGGACTCCACAACAGATAAAACTGTATCACGATTTTTGTCACACAAACTTGAGAATTATAGATCTTCCAGAGGAACTCAGAGACTGTTGTGTTAAATTTTTTAGTAACAAGGAACATCACGCTGTACTTTATAATATGTACGGTAATATTATAAATGTACTATCACTGGCAGCAATTAATGCATATAGGGATAAATGTAAATGTAGAAAAAAGGGAGGTTACGTGACGGGGTGGAATAAGCACGTCGCGGGCCCACATCGGGAGGCGCGGCTAAAATTTGAAGAGTGGGTGATGGCTGAGCAGCCGTCCAGGGGTCGCGTATTTGA